CTTTATTAAAATGGATTATTTTTATAATAAAAATTGAAGTTTTAATTCTCTCTCTCCTCTCTCTCTCTCTCTCTCTCTCTCTCCTTCTTCCTTCCAAGTATAGGACAGGGAGCCAGGAGTCCTAAATGCAATATTAAATGGATGTGTGCTCTTGGTAAGTCATTTTCCTTCCCTGAGTCTTTGTTTATTCTTTCATGAATGTAGTAGGAGACTGGCAAGAAGATGTCCTTCCAGACCCTTCCAATTTTGTTCTTCCGTGTTTTACAACCAGAACACTGGGGCCAGCTGAGCTGTCTAGAGCCTTTGCCAACTGTAGTTTACAGTAGGACATTGAGCTCTCCAGTCCTAAGAGCCATCAACTGGTTGAATCTTTCCAGTTTTCCTGTAATGAGATTATATATTATTTTTATCATGAAAAATACCATAAAAAAGCAATGTATATATCATTGGATCTAGGGCACAGTTAGAGTGGAAAAGGTAAATGTAAAAAGAAAACTTGAATAAATCCCCAAACAAGATGAGTGGGGAAAAAACTAGTTACAAGAATGGCATATACATTAGTATATTATTTTTATAAATTTTAAAAACATATAGAACCAAAAAGTATAAAAATAAAATGGAAGAATACATTCCAAATTCATCTTAGTAGTTGCCTCTGGAAATGGATGGAGAGGGATCAGGTTGGAATGCAGGACAGAGTTTAACTTGTCTAATGTTTCATGGCTCCCACTGGAAAAAAACTGAACCAAACTTTATGTTTAAAATGTTAACAATTTGTCAATTTTAAGTAAAGATCCAGATGTGAGCCACATATTGTGAGGGAATAAATTCAGAGAACTATATTTTTTATTCTCAGAGCTCTTCCGTATTTGTCTAATTACCCAACATAAACAAATAATTTTTAAACGAAAAAAGATTAGATTATTTATTTCTTTTCTATATTTTTTCAATATTTGTAAAATGTTTATGAAGGATTTTTTTCATGCTCAGGATCGAGACAAGACCTCATGCATGCTAGGCAAGTGCTCTACCACTGAACCATACCCCAGCCTTCAAAGATTATTTTCATGAATGATAAATGAATTTAACCTTAATACAAGAGAAACAGAAAAGAGAAAAAAGAAACAAGAGAAAGAAAAATGAAAGAGTGAGTGGGTGACTGTGATAAAATAGAGAAGGCCTGGAAGCATCAGGACAATCTTACCTCAAAGTAACTTAAGAAATTCCTGTTCTAGACCATGAGCTACAAATTTACCACAAATTTATTAAACTCTTACAAGAGTGAGAGTCCTGGGTGTTACAGCCTTCATGCCCTCATTGTGTTTTAAAACCCCTCTCCATTTCATTGATGTCTCAGGACAATCTTCTAATGAGAATCCTCCAACCACCTACCCTTTCAGGTGCAAATTTTCCATCTCAGTTCCCTGCCACCCACCCCTGGGTACTGGGAATCTAATTCAGGACCTTTTGTTTGCCAGGCAGGCATGGCACAGCTGAGCTATATCCGTGGCCCTCCATCTCAGCTTGCAGGGCTGCTATTGCACCCCACAAATCACTTTCTATCATTCTTTCTTGAGCCAAATTCCCAGTGGTTTCCAGGATTCCCATGGGGAATATAGTTCTCTGAATTTATTCCCTCACAGACTTGGCTCACAATATTTCTTAAACTGTATGTCTTAATATGAAAGCTGAATATGCTAAAGATAAAATTTTTCATTTTTTCCCCTACTACTCTCTCCCAAAGTAAATCCCTTTCACATTAGAAATATGTTTATCCCCCCAACTCTGAGGAAATACTACTCATTTTGGCCTTTTTGCTGCATATTGATTGATCATTGAGTTCATTTGCTTTTATCAACTCTGTCTCCTGAGGCCTCACCCATCTATCATGTTGTCTTTTGTCAGCCCCTTTCCCCAGCTTTCTTCTATAGACTATTTGCTTTTTAAGGTCACTTCATGATATGGTATTTTTAAATGTCTTTTCCTGTCCTCATCTTTTGTCATATACAGGATGGTGTAACTGAAGTACTGATTCCAGACTTTGCTCTCTAAGGGTAACAATGAATATGCCAGGAAAATATCTGAAGTCAAATAAGATATCAATCCTGGGCAATATAAAGGGGAACGTTGAAGACCCTACTGAGAAATGAGGGGGAGTACATTGGGAAGATGGTCAGGCAGGACAAAATGTTAAATGCAATAGGTAAGCATAGGCTTCACAAGTTTGGAAGCAAGACTACCTCTCACCTCATTGTTCAAGGAGATCACTGATAGGGCAACCTTAGGGAAAAGATCGAAGCCTGGCTTGTAATCATCTCTTTACCCCAATATACAATATAGCGTTGGGCAATTCAGATTAAACTCTTTGATACTCACTTTTCCCATCTGGAAGACCTTATCATCATGCAAGCCTCCATTTCATAATTTCAAAATTTTGAGAGAAGCAGCTTATCTTACATGGTCACCAGTTACCTTGCCTAAGTCCATAAGGATGTTTGTGAGGTCAAATCAAAAAGACATAAGAGCCCTCTGAAGACAGGGGCTACAGAAATATATACTAGTATTATTGGCAGCTTTAATGCTTATGGCCCCTTAAATAACTGTTTCTTGAATGAAGACACATCTATATAGGTTTTTATCTTCAGTACCACTGAATACACTGCTATCTGTCTCAGGTGATTATCTCAGCAGGGAAGATTGCAGCGATCTGCCCGATCATAATCCATTGTTCCCTCTCCTGTCTCAGGCTACTTTTGCTACTTGAACACACGCTGTACCTAAGGGTTTGGAAATCACAACTCCACCCAGTATCCTCCTCTAGGCACCTATTATGTTCACTGACACCACATATCATGTGACACCAAGCATATCAGTGCCATAGGTAGATAACTTGGAGAAGGGGGCCTCCATGGGTTACTGAGAGTGGGGTAGGAGCCACTCAAATATCAGAGAAAGGCTAAAATCCAAAGGAACAGTCCAAAGGGTAAAATATGGAGCATATGTAGGAAGAGAACACACTTTCCCCTTCAAAGCATAGCATGCCAAAATATCTTTCTCATTTTAAAGTGTAATTTGAGGTGTCATTATCTAATATATGGCTTGATTGTCCTAAGTAGGCTCATGGATTATTTAGTTTAACAAACTAAATTTTCAGAGAATAAAGAAATCCCTTTCCTGGTGTCAACTGTATCCACTTTAGGTCTCCACTAGCCAATGATATTCAATGCTAGAAAATATCAAAGTCATACTTGAGAGTAGACTATCAGACATGCAAATCAAGGAGAAGAAATTAATTTACCAATCTGCCTTTCAGCATCTTTCAGTGGTTTTAATAAATCATAAATCACTGGGGTCAGAATGTCATGACATGGCCACTTTATTTTTACAATAAACAAATGGGTGTTTCCATTCGCTCAGGAGTTGAAGATGAACTACTGAAGCATTATTAAAATAAGGCCCCCCAAAAAGTGGCCTATAGGAAAAGAGTAAGATCAACTGCAAAGAAGTCTGATTCCAGGTTCTGTTAACACAGCTGTACAGAATCCTGACCTTTCACCACTCAGCACAACTGATGGCCACTGTCTTCAAAAGTAAGTGTCATATTTGGAGCCTTCCTGAGAAACAAAGTGGCAAATAGGAATTTTGGTTGCTCCCACTTTGTCATCTCCATTATCTCTGAGTAACAGATAAGGAATATTCACTTTCTCCCCACATGTACATAGAGCAGAAGGATCTGCTTGATCCCAAGGTCTAGATTACAACTGACGTCTTGGCTTTGGGTTATAAAACATAACTATCTCTTTTCACAGCTTAACTCCCAAAATTCTTCTATCTCGAATTAATATGTGTTTTTGTTTAAAGTCAAAACACATGTATCTGAAAACTCACTACAGCACAGGCACAATTCTCTTCCTTTCACCTATTTAGTCAAATGAATTTGGCTATGTCATTTATGAAACATCTTAACATGGAAAGGTCATAGATTTGGACACATAGGACTTGCTATGAGAAAAGGCAATGTAACCTATATACCATCCTACAACACACATTCAATAGACCTGGGTATATCTCTTCCTTGGCTGAACTATATAGTATATGGGCAGCTCATAATTACAAACACATAGAAATTCATGCACAAATAACTCAGAGAGCCAGTAAGGGAAAATGTAACTGAACTGCCCCAAGGAGAGATTCTAAGAACACTCACTCTACATTGAGGACACCTCCACTACTCTAAGCAAAGAGAGATTGAGAAGACAACTATTATTCCAGTGTACAAAGAAACCATGTAACTCTTGGCCTTGAACAAAAAATGCCAACAAATTAACACAGAACTCTGTACAGGAGAGCTCTTCCATAAATGCTCGCCACCTGGCTGAGTGCACTGGAAACCTCAAGGATTCAAATGTGAGGGCCACCAAAATGTAAAATAAACCCTAGATTCTACAAACCAAATAAATGCTGTTTTCACAGCCCACTCTTTTCTGCTAATATTTCCTCGATCAAAGGTTACTTCAGTTATGGAGATGAAGTTTGTTTCTATGAATTAGACAATCTAATTGCCTCACTCCCCAATAAGGAAGAATTTTCTTCTCCTCAAATAGAGTGGCACTAGAATCTGCAATATAACACTCCACTTCTCTTACCAGGCTTGAGAGGAAGAATTTGATTAATACTATGGATATCAACTCCACTCTGCTGGGTCCACACTGACCAGCTAAATTCCCTGTACCCATATTTCTCTAGAACACATAGCACCCCTGCTCCCATTCTTGGACCTCAGATCCAATAAATAGGTCAGTTTATTTCACCTGTGCCACAGAATTTAACCCCAATCTCTATTCCAGTTTAGCACACTACTGTACTGTACACTCTCTCCAAACCCCACCCTTTCTTGAACAGTGATTAAAAATGTTATATATAAATGTTATTCGGTATGGTAGCAACTATTCCTATGTGGTTATCATACACTTAAAATGTAGCTGAATTTCAACTCTCACCCAGCAGTAATGAGCCCTGCTCTCCAGGTGTCAAGGAGGCTGAATGGGAAATCTGGACTTTTACTTCCACTTGGCAGAAACAAGACAGCAACTTTCTTCTCCTGCTGGAGAAATGTCAGAGAAAGCAGGCTGAAACACAAGGTCTAAATAAGGTAGAAAGTCTCATAATGTACTATAAAATGTCCAAATTTCTATTAAAAAACAATCACTTCCCATACCAAGAACCAGAAAGATCTCAAACTGAATGAAATGGGTAATCAATAGATGCCAAAATCAAGATGAAAGAGATAATAGAATTAGCAAAGATTTTTAAATGCCATGACAAGAACACTTCAATAAATGCTAACATATTTTTCAAAACAAATGAAAAATAGAAAGTCTCATCAAATAAATAAACCATATATAGACAAACCAAATGCAAATTTTAGAAATGACAATTTAGTTTCTGTCAGTTCATTGAAAAGAAATTTTGCGCTAATGCCTGTTTGTTTCTTCTTTGTAAGAGAGAATCTTTTTTCCCTATGTCTTGTACTCTGAGTAACTACTTTGAAAATAATGATTCACAGTGCATTAACTATTCTTATTCTGTTATTTTGTTATGAAATTCTGGTTTTTTCATAAAAGAAAAAAGAAATGATAAATATAATAATTCACACAAAAACTTGATGATCTCTACAGCAGAATGGAGAAGATTGAGAAAAGAATCAGTTAATTTGAAGGTAGAATAAAAATGATCTTATCTGAATAAAAAAGAAAAAATTGACTGGGAAAAAAGTGAATAGGGCCTCAGGGATCTGTAGGGCTAAAACCAATTCTAACTTTTCTGTCATCAAAGGAAGCCTGGAATGATAGGAGAAAAATGCGGGAAAGAAAAAGTATTTGAAGGAATAATCATTGAAAACTTTCCCCAATTAGCAAGTGACATAAACTTACAGATTCAAGAAGCTGACTATATCTCAAAGTAGGTAAACCCAAAGAACTCCATTTCAAACTACATCATAGTCAAACTTCCAAAAACTAAAGAGGAAAAACTAAAGAGGAAAAAGCAGTAGGCTAGAAATACCTTATTTTCAAGGGAAAACAATTCTAATCACAGCAGATCAACAGATTTCTTAGAACCCATGAAAGTTAGAAAGAAATGGCCATTTTTTCAAGCATTTTAAAAGATAAAAGCTGTCTACTTGAAATCCTATATTCAGTGAAAATATCCTTCAGTGATAAATGGGGAATGAAGAAATTATCATGTGAAGAAAAACTAAGAGAATTTGTTGCTAGCGACCCTGTACTAAAAGAATGGCAAAAGGAAAGTCTCTTAGTCACTTTTTTTTGTGCAGGAATATGATACCTCACTGTGTTAGTTACTTTTCTCTCCTTGCTGAGACAAAATACCAGACACCCAAAGTTAAAGGGGGAGGAGTTTATTTGCCTTACAGTTAGTAGAGATTTCAGTCCATAATCAGCCAACTCCAGGGCAGGGACGAAAAATAGACATGGCAGAGCAGAAACAACATGGTACACACAAGGCAGCAAAGGTAACAAGAGAGTTAACAGCGTCTCCTTGCCCCTTTTATCTTATCCAGACTACTTAGGGAGGGTAGCACTCACACCCCTAATCCTAGTGCCCTTGAGCCTAGCATTGCATCATGAATCAATTCCAGCTTCACACACTCTAGATCAATCCTATAACCACATGAGGCTTTGGGGGGACATCTAGACCCAAACTGTAACACTCACCAACAATTTAAGGGAGGAGTGGTTTATTTTGGCTTATCTTTCAGAAGTTTCAGTCCATGTTTGGCAGGCTTAAACACAGAAATGGCATGGTAGAGGTCTGGAGGGAGGAAAGCTGCTCACATCATGGCAGCCAGGAAGCAAAAAGAATAAAGGAACCAGGAAGGGAGACATGCCTTTTCAGGTCAGAACCCCAGTGACCTACCTGCTTCTTCTCACAACACCCTACTTCCTAACAGCAAGTCAGCTACATCACCCCCAGGATTACCTTCTAAAAGCCCCAACTACACACATATGAAGCCTGTGGCAATATCTAGATATAAACCAAAACAGAAGGTATCTAAACAGAAAAACCATACATATATAAAGAATTTTTTAATCTCAGGAAAGAAAAAAGAACAACAGAAAGAGTAAAAGTAAGTTTTCTCAATCATGTTGGATAGTTGAAGCAAAAATTACAATACTGGTGTAGTTCTAAATATGTTAGAGGAAATGTTTTAAGATAATTATAAATGGGGGAGGGTAAAGTGACTTAAGAGAGGTAAAGTTGTTATAAATTACTTAAACGTATAATATAATACTAATAGACCGTAATAAATTATATTCAGACACTAAAAAAGTTTCTTAAAATATTTTCTTTAAAAACTGGAAGACTTGTTTTCAGTTTTTCAAAAATTAAGCATACACTTACCATACAAACCAGCAACCACACTCCTAGGAATTTTCCTAGAGAAATGAAAATGTATGTTCACACAAAAACCTATAAATTAGTGTTCATAGCAGCTTCATTTGTAGTAACAAAAAACTGGAGATAATCAAAATGTCTCTCAATAAATGAATGATTAAACAAACTGTGATGTAATCATACTATGGAATACTGTTTGATAGTAAGAAGGAATTAATTATTTATACACAAAACAACCTAGATGATTCTCAGGGGCATTATGCTGACTAAAAAAAAACTTGACGGGTTCACATACTCTATGATTCCATTTATATAACTTCTTGAAATAAAGAAACTATAGATATGAAAAATAGATTAATGATTGCAGAGGTTTGGGATAGTTGAGGGTCAGACTATAAAGATAATAAAGACGTAGTACAACAGATCTCTTGTGGTGATGGAATAGTACTTTCTCTTGATTGTGGTCATAGTTATATAAGGATAAACATGTGGTAAAATGACATAGAAGTACACACATCCATTGTTCCAATGTCAAGTTCATGGTTTTGATATTATACTATAGCTACACAAGATGTAGCCATTAGGGAAATTTTCTAAAGAGTATGCAAGTCCTTTCTGTCCTTTCAATTTCATGTGAATCTATAATTATTTCAAAAGAAAAAAATCAATTCACCATGATAGAAAGATTAATAGCCCTCCAAAAATGTTCATATCCTACTCCCAGAACATGTGAACATGTTAGCTTAAATGGCACAAGAAGAGTTAAAGTTGCAGAGAAAGTTACGGCTGCAAGTCAACTAACCTTTAGATGGAGAGAGTACCCAGTTAGGTAGATCCAAAATAATTATAACCATCTTTATAAGTGAAAAAGGGAAGTAGAAAAGTGAGAGTTGGAGCCAAGGATTTAGCTCAAGGTCCTGAGTTCGATCCCCTGTACCCTCCCCCCCCCAAAAAGTAAGAGTTGGTGAAAGAGATACAAAAAGAGATACAATGATAGGAAAAATATTAAAGTGATAAATGTGGGGAATCAATCCTCCTTTAAAGGCTTTTTATATGGAAGGTGTCCATGAGACAAGAAATACCAGTAGTGCCTAGGAGCTGGAAAAGTCAAGGAAAGAGTATCTCCTCCCAGAGCCTCCAGAAAGGAGGGAAGCTCTTCCCATATCTTGATTTTGGTCCAGTGAAACCTAGTTCAGACTCCTGACTTCTGAAATCCAGAACTACACAATAATAAATTCATGTTTTAAACCATCAAGTTTGTGGTAATTTGTTATAGCAGCCAAAGTAGAAAACCAACACAGGTACCAACCAGGTAGTTAACAACAAACCTATTACAAGATGGACAATTGGCTTTTTGAAGTGTACATGCAATTCATTAGTCAGAAGCCAATAATTCTGTATAATCTTAAGGCAACAGCCAGTACATCATGGCTAATGCTATTTGCAATTCCACATCACCAATGATAGCAGTAATAAAAATCTTGCCTCAAAATTACAGGGAAAAGAAACACATTAACTCTATTAAATAAGGCCTGCTCATTTAATGACAGTATAAGAACAGAAGCATTTGTGCCACAGAGTCTGGAAATCTTGTCTCAATCCAGCTAAAGATGCTTATTTGCCAAGGAATTTCCTGCTATGTAGAATACAGGAACAATGGAAAAATGAACTGGTTTAGCAAAGGGGTAGTGTCAATTCAGATGGTAAAAAAAGACCCAACTAAGAACAACACTAATTTCCCATAAAATGGAGAAATCCATTTTATTCTTTTCTCTGCTCCATAGTAGATACTAAATAAATATTTGCTGAATTGAATTATAAATGATAATTAATTAGTAAACAGCCTTAGAATTGTATGAATCCTCATACTCTGCAGTACCCCAAACTGCTAGGACAAGAAGCAATAAACATTTTTTCACTGATAGGCATCCCATATATTACTAATCCTAAATGCAAAGCACAGATGTGGCATATATTCGCGTTTGCAGAGCTTACAGAGTTTTGCATTTAATATATGGTGCTAGAGCTCCAGGATGAATTCTGTTATCTCTACAGGATGACTAATATGTCACTTCCCTCTCTGACTACATTACCATACCTAACAATTAGTTAGGTATGGCTGGGAAGAGTTCACTATTCTTGTCCGCACCTTGGATAAGGGAAATATATGGAGATAGCAAGACATGAAATAGAAGGGGCATGTGATCAGAAGTGTGCTTTTTTATATTGATTATATAGAATAATGTATTTCTTTGTGGCATTTTCATACATTCAAATAACATATTTTCATTATATCCCCTCTATTATCCTCCTTCACTCTCTCCTGTCCCCAGCCCTAATCCCCTTTCTCTTTAATAGTCTTCTCTGCTTTCATGTCAACCCATTTCCCCAAAATTACACACATGAGAGAAAACATGTGATATTTGTCTTTCTGGGTTTGGCTTATTTTGCTTAACATGAGTGTGCTTTTATGGAATATATTTTGTATATCAGTAATTAACTTGTGAAGTGAGAGCTGAACAAACACTTTTAAGAGAGTTGACAAGTCAAAGATTTGGGGAAACTAGGCAACTTATTTCTGTTGAGAACAATAATGTCCAAGTGACTGCTAAGTGGCTCTTTTTTTCATAATAAAAAATGTCTATGAAGGCTAATCATAAAAATACTTGTAACAGTAGCTGAGGGCTGTGGACCATAAGTATGCTAATAACATGCTTTTCTTGAGAGAATCATTTTCATGGCTTTCATTTCAAGCTACAGTGACCATAACAGCTATGCAACAAGAACTGTGTAACAAACAACTGGAGAAAGTCTTAGTGCAGAGGCTTTTAACTCACAATGTATAGTTAGATTTCCTGAAAATGTACGCAAATATTATATATGTAAACATGTACTTTTCTGAAGAGAATACCATTGGCAGCCATCAAATTTTCACAGGCAGTCATGTCGAAGTTAGGGACCACTGAGCCAGATGGTGATGGCCTTATTTTTCTACCCCTTTACCAAGTAAAGCAGCATATCTTCAGAATGTATTTCAGTTATTTAGTAACTAAAGAGACACTGGGTTTCCATTCAAATAAACCACTGAATACTGGCCTCTGGGTTAATAAATCACATGTGTGCCTGGAAAAACATGGTAAATATTGGCAAGGAGAGCAAAAAGAATTTTGTAGCTCTACAAGATTTAGATAACTACCAAGGTGAGGGAAAAAAGATAACTATTGATGTGTTGACTCAAACAAACAAATTCACTTGTGAATTTCACTTTTTAGGTTATTCTCCTGCCAGTTCACCAGATTCTAGACAATCTCCTAAACCCTAGATATTAGTTTATGTATGGTCATGAAATGTAGACTGATTTTAACATTGGGTGAAGTAAAGCTCAATCAAAGAAAGAGAAGCTTGAAATATTTGCAAAAACAACTCTACAAGGCTCCATGCTTTCTTCTTGTCTGCTTTATTTCTTTTTCCATGGTAGGCCAGATTTGGCCTGTGGGCCATAGTTTCATTCACTCCTGCCCTGGATAAATGAAAGTCCATCCTAGATACTTAGAACTGGAAGGCAGCTTAAAAGATCATCTTGTCTACTACAGAAAATTCAAATGGAAAACCACATATATAAAAAACAAGACCACATGCAGACAGAGCTGCTTGTGCACCTTTAAAAATATTTTGAAAAGAGAATTTGTACTTCCCTTAGCACTATATTTTTTCTCACAACTGTTGTAGACAGGATGTTCTTCCTAAATTTAAATTTTTTCCTAATAAGCTTTAAGCTTATTACCTCTTATCATTCTTTCATGAATTCTCTCCAGGATGCAAATGCACCTCTTTGTGTGCATGTGTATGTGCAAATACTCTAGTGTGTTTTACAGGAGTGTCTTTACATCTAATAACACAATTCTGTTGAGCCTAAAAACTGAATCATTTCTGAGGTTCTTCTCCAGAAATGCCTCTTAGCTAAGAAAATGATGGGCTTAGCTGGGTTAAAGAACTATTATTATTCCATAAATCTCATTATTCCACAAAGTTTTGCAAAAATAACCGCCTCCCCAAGTCAAGAAACAGAGTTTCTCTGAGTCACCTTTGAAGGTAGCTTACATTAAGGTGGTCATAGAATTTTTTCCAAACTGGAACACTTTTGAGAATGAAACAAGTATACCAGAATAACAAGAAAAAAACACAGCATATGGTCATTCTACTTATAGTCTTTCATAGAGGAAATTCTTTAACTTCTCCCAAATGAAATGTATCTCTGTGCCTGTTCTTGATGGAGGATGGCTTGGTAAAAATCCAGCATTTAGGCCTAAGGCATAATCTTGGTCTCAAGCCTCTGGCAAACATCAGGAGCAGCTTCTTGATTAGGCCAGTTGTTTAACCCTTGAAAGGGGCTACTGAGAGAGAAGCTGAAATTTTAAATGGGATTTGGGGGTGCTTGAGAAAACAATAGATAATTGTTTACATCAAAATCACTTCACTGGGGATGGATAAGATGAAGTCCTTTTTGGAAAAAAAATAATACTTGTGAGCACATTAGTTGGTCTTAAAACTTCAGTTGCTTTTTCATCCCAGAACAAGGAAAAGAAACACATCAGATCATAGCACTTATCTATATAAAAAGACCCAAAAGAGCATAGCAGAGGCCTGTGAATCACTGTGGGCATTGAGGAATTGGACAGGAGAGAGACAAAGGTCTTCATCCTTACCGGGGCTAGTCCAGAAAAGGCCGTACCATCACTAAAAGGCACCTTCCCTCAACCCTCCAAGTTCTCAGATGACCACATCCAGACCATATTTCTCCAGGTTGTGATGGGCTTACTATTGCACAAGGCCAGTGTTGTTTGAGAAGAGAGGAATGTTCTTCCCAGCCTACAAATAAATTTTCTGAACAACAGAAAAGGTGTAAATTTGAAAGTCACCCCTAAGTGATGTGGTCCTGTCCAGTACTCTGTTTTGTTTTCAAGCAGCCCTGGAGAAGTGGCCTCGAAAACCTGACAAGTTCTTTGTGCCTAACCCAATGACCTTGGGTTTGAAAAGGTACTCTGGTGAAGAAACTATCAGGGAGCAGATGGGCAACTTTTCAGAGGAAGTAAAAGAGCTGACTTTTTTTTTCTTTTTTCTTTCTTTCGTTTTTTTTTTTTTTTTGGTACCAGGGATCAAACTCAGGTCCTTGCACTTGCGCAGCAGTTGGTGAAACCGCTGAGCTAAATCCCCAGCCAGAGGAAGTAAAAGAAAGCACAACAAAATAAAACTAAAAATGTCCAAATCTGAAATCTCTAAGATTGGAAAAATAAGGAGGTCATACTCTTTAGTGAATCATTTCCCTTCCCTATCACCCACCATCCAGTTTGATTTTTCTCTCCTTTTGTTTACTGAGAGCAGGAACACTTAAAGCGATGTATATGAAAACAGATAGGTAAGTTTAAATGCAACACAAAGGCCAGCTGGAATCTTCTCCCCTTAGGAAGGGATTAACAGAAGAAAAATAATGTCTAGAACTGCACTTAGAAAGAGAGACATGGCAATCAACGCTTCTTTGATTAAGCCAGCCCCTCCTCTAAGCTAATACCTCAGTAAGACCAAGATCTCCACAGTGACTGTGTCAGGGATCCATGAGCACATATTTAGATGTTTTAAATCCAGCACTTACCACTTTTTTCGTCTTTCTTCTCCCACCTTTTAAACACAGGTAATACCAGCACAGCTTTAGTTCTGTTTTCTCTGTGTAGCTTACAGGTAGAAGACTGTAGAAAAAAGAAAAAGGAAGAGAGACAGACTCTGAGGAAAACAGAAAGCCAAAGGGTTCTGCACTTGTTTGACTTTGGCAACAGGGTGTTACTGATTTGCGTGTGTGTATGTGTGTGTGTGTGTGTGTGTGTGCGCACGCTAAAAAGCATTGCTGAATTCAAGATTTAACCATTGAACAGGTTAATTTATTTAACAGAATTGACATATGTCAAATTCTGCTATGTGTTTATATAATTGTTACCAATTTATCAGAGCTGTAATTTAGGCAAATATTTGTTTTATGAGTATTTTCTTTTAAATTATTTTCTCAAGCCTACTGCAAATAAGTCTTGGTTCATTTTAACTATGCTAACAATAGCTATTTGGTGGAAGTCTATGAAATCTAGTCTTCCCCCCAAACTGTATCCTCCAAGCTAGTAATAGCTTTCAAGTTAAAAATTATACCATAGAGAACATTTTAAAATATCCACAATGTCTTTTTATGCTATGATATTTTCCACTTCTGATTTTTTAAAAAGAAGTTTCTTGACATATTGTTAAAATCAGAGCTGAATGCTGTTAACGGACTAAAAGAACAAAAGGATGTGATTTTTTGAGTGTATATCTGTGCGGTGTTCAGGGCAGTTAGGGGAAAGCTAGCAAAATAATTAGGTAGAATAAGAGAAAGTAAATGGAATCAACTTCCAAGTCTTATAAATTTTGTTGAATCTAAACCCTATCTAAACACATGTGCACCAAAGATCATATCTTTTCAATTCAACTGCATGAAATCTATCTAGGTTTTGTGGGAAGTATAATAATTGGGAAGTATTTCTAAGAAACAAAAATCCAATCACTAGCTGCCAGAGATGGTTTGGGTTCTTCTAAATATGTCGTGTGCAAAAACAAGAGACTCATTTTGACCTCCAGGTCAAGGAATGAGGGCACTATGAAAAATATAAAGGTGTGGGTGGGAACGAAATCTCATCACCACACAAGTGAATTGTTGACCTAGAAGCAAATACATTTCTGTTATTATTGCTGGGTACAATGCACAAGTCTTCCAGAAATTAGACACTGTAATAAAAATGTACCAGCCCAAATTTAAATTGCTCACTAGACAGATGGTTAATTATATTCACAGCCACATATTTCACTGGGATACAGTTTCAGACACTCAGCCAGTTTTGTTTGATTAGCCAGTTTCCCAGTTAATATGTAAAGTGACAGTTACTTAAGGCTTTTTTGTTCCCTTCTAAAAATATATTTTCAATAAGTGTAAATTCTCCTCAGCCAGAAGAACATCACTGCTGTAAATAAAACGTTTGGTCATATGTTACCCTATGTGTAAAAGATGTAAAAGAGATTCACTTCCCCAAAATCCAAATGGTCTCTAGTAGTTCAGAGAAGGCCACTGGAATACCCTTTCTCAGCAAGCAAAATATTCTACGGACTAGCAGCACAGGGTTCCTCCACCTAAAACAACTGAGATTTTCAAATCCCAGGGCTGAAGTCCTTTAGATGCTTTTTAAAAACAGCTCTTCTAGCCCCCCTCCCGCCAAATCATGCCTTTCAGGTAACAGTCTAAAAAATAGAACGTTGGGAAAATGTTACATAGCGAAGTGTACAGCTGTGCACAAAATTCAACAATATGCTGAGAGAAAAAAAAAACAGAGGCAAAATATGAGACCCACTTATTCCAAAATGCAGCCAGAAGCTCGACAAAAATCAAAGAGTGCTGGGGTAGAAAAGGGGAGACAATTTTTTTTAACTTCGGAAAAGACAGAAAACCTTGCGCGGGTGATTCGGTCCCTCACGAATCACAGAGACAGAAGCAGTCATGCTGAAACCGCTGGATTCCTCTGCTGAAGGGCGCCAACTCAGCTTCGGGGTTTCCCCACTCTTCCTGGAGCAGCAGCCGCCCCCCCACCCCCGCTTGCCGGCCTCCCTGCCCCACAGGGTGTATGAGACCCAAAGGACTGATACCTGCAGGCGCGGTGGCAGCGAGAAGCATCAGAAGCCTCGCAGGAAAGCGTCAGTTTGACTGCTTCCCACAGCAGGCAGGGCAGTGGGCCAATTTCCGCAGAGGTGATGAGCGTGGCAAGGCTTGGTCAGGCCCCAAACTTACACTTGTCAGTGCGCACCTTAGGAACACTCTGTGATGCTCTAGGCCCCCAGAGAGCACGGGAGCCGTGGGCGAGAGAGAAGCGCTGGTAAAGCGGCTTCGCACCTTTACGGCTTTGGCTCAAGCACCAGCCGAGGCCGCTGCGTGGGTTTTCCCGCTCCAACTGAAGCGCAGTGTCGGACTCCCGGTCAGGCTCTCTCGGCACCAACCCAAAAGGAGGCAGCGCTCGGCTCGTTCCAGTTGCCCTGCTGTGTGCTTATGATCGCCTTGGCTCCGGCCCGCTCGCTTCCCCTCCCCCTCCTCCCGCTCTAGCACAGAGGCCTTTCCTAGATTGCAGTGCTGGTCTTGGCGAGCTGGAATCTCACCCTCACGGCCTCGCTCCTTCGTACACAGACACATACATGCACGCCATTCGGACACAGACGTCCTCCCTTCCGCTTTCCCTTCCTCCTCTTCTCTCTCATCTACCCCTAATTCGTTTCACCCTTTGCCGCCGCCACCCCGGCCGGGCGGGGAGCTGGAGAGAAGGCCCGGGGGCTGGGTCGCAGCGCTTATACTCACCTCACAGGCCGACTCCTGAGGCGCACGTTGCGGGCGGGCTCAGACACCGAGCTCTGGAGCTGGCGCGGCCGCAGTCAAGGATGGGCTGCCGCCGCTGCTTTGCTACTGCTACTGCCGACGCTGCCTGCTGTGCCTCAGCTATGTGCGTTGGGCCCGCCAGGTGGACGCGCCTGTCACCCTGGCTCCCTCAGGTTTCACAGCCGCTGCCGCGCTAGATGGATTAGATGGATTCAGAACTGTCAGGCTCAGGCTCTGAAACTCAGAGCCTCAGTGGCTTTCCGGCTGCTCCTAGGTTCAGAGCTTCGCCTGTACCACCACTCACTCAGGCTGGGGCTACCTCTCCAGCGGGCTGCTCGAGCGGCGCCCAGAGCTCGCTCTGTGCAGTGGCTGCGGGCGTCCGCGACAGGGAGAGAGAAGGGCGGCTGCTACAGCCGCGGTCGCTGTTAAAGCTATTACCAAATGCTGCTACTGTCCTTATGGCTACTGCTGTGGTGGTGTCTGCTGCTACTGCTGCTGATGCTACTGGTTTTGCTTCCCGGGTTCTCCCCCTGCCTGGTCCTCCCTCCTCTTCTCCCTCCTCCTCTCTCCTCTTCTCCCTCCTCCTCTCTCCCCGCTCCCTCTTCCTCTCCCTCTCCCTCTCCCTCTCCCTCCTCCTCCTCCTCTTCCTCCTCCTCCTCTTCCTCCTCCTCCTCTCCCTCCTCCTCTTCTTCCTCCTCCTCTTCCTCCTCCTCCTCTCCCTCCTCCTCCTCCTCCTTCCCCCCTTTCTCCTCTTTTTGCCGCTTTTCTGAGAGCCTCTGCGGGCACTGCCTGCTCCCCTCTTCTCCCAGAGCTGCCTCTACCCGTTCAGAAAGGTGCCCAGAGTAGGGCTGCCTCAGCTGCCACCATCGCTATTGCCCCTGCCATTGTTTCCTCCGTCACGGCTGTTCTTGCTGGACGCGCTCCCCCTCTACCCTCCTTCCCCACCACAGCCCTCCCTTTTCCTCTCGCTCTCTTCTTACCCTCTCTAAGGTTCCTTCTCGATGTTCGCCCTCCCACTCTGTCCCTTCCTCCCCTCTCCTCAGGCGCCCGGGAGCGCGCACTGCGCGGCCACCTGTCATAAAGGGCGCGCACTCCCCATCCCCACCCCCACCCTGTCCCCCACTCGCATTCTTGCAGCCAGCCCAGTCAACCGCGCCACTGTCTCATTCTTTCCTGGGCAGACTCAAAGCCGGACACCACTCTCCCATGCCTTTGAGGGCAGTTCTGTGTGCAGAGAGGGACGCTCTGAAGTTTCAGGAAGAATATTTGAATGGCTTAGTCTACCAAGCATCTAACCAGTCAACCTACCCTTAACTTCAGGGTCTAGGTCCCCAGGAAGGTGGCTCACGGTGGAAAGGCTGATGGAGGCAGAGAATTGGAGAGGACTGGGGTTTTTGTTGTTGGTGGTGGCAGCAGTGTGTCCCCCCACCACCACACAAACACCCAAAATAAAGGGGAACTTGAATACAGCCATGAAGCAAATAGGATCTACCTGACTGCTGTCATTGAAAAATTCCTTAGGTAATCATTTCCCTTCTTATATCCTGGGAATCAACTAGAAACAGCAAAAAATTTGAGAGTGACTCAGGAGGAAACATTTAGCACTCCTAAAAGTCCTAGGTGTAAGGTTGGGGTCTGAACTCCAGAGTCACAACCATTAAGAGCCAGGGCAAGAGATGAAAGGTTAGCGCTAGAACAAAAGGGGTAAAACTCTTTATTTCGTGTGCACTTACTTCAGCAAGTATTGCCAAAGCCCAGCTTCTCCAGTTAGGGAGGGCCCAATTTTAGATCTCTCTGCTTCTACAGGTAGACAACCTCAGTTTGCTAAACTCAGGCTTTGAGATCTATTACCCTCAATAGATCATATAAAGCTTTCCAACAACCTCTCCCCAGAAACAGCATGGGGGGTGGTGAGGCTATTTCCCTTTCCATGACAAAGTATAGAAGACAGATCTTTAACATATCTCATTGGCAAAAAGGTCAGGGCCACCTCTTCAAGTTTGGGGCACACTTCCACAGGTTTTTCATCCTTGAGCCATAAAATGTGTATATGGGCATGAGGGACACTTTTTACAGCCTCTCATCTCTGTAGTTTTGTGTCTACAATTTCACCTGCTTGGAATACCTTTGTCCACCTCCCTCCTTTTTATCTATGAAGTTTATTCATGAATAATAACTTATCTGTAAATAATCAGCACTTTGTCAGTCTTATATGCCAGATAATGTGTTAAGAAACTTACATGCATTATTTTATAGAATCCTCATGACACACAATTTTATTAACCCTATTTTACAGGTGGGAAAATTGAACAACAGAGAAATAGATATATAGATACAGGTAAATATTTTCTCTATCTTGCCTCTGACAGGTAGTATGAAAGTTTTTGTAAATAGGGAGGGGTAGAGGGGTGGAAGGGGGGTCAGGAGAATGAAGAAATTTAAGAACCAAGATATATCATGTAAACGTACAAATTCCCAATGATGAAATGTCATCACATTGTATACCTAAAATTACCAATAAATTTAATGAATTAAAAATTATATTTGCCTCTTTTAAGCATTGGGATAAATAAGATAAATAAAATTTGGCCTCTGCCCTCAAAAGCAAAAATAAACAAATATTAAATATGTAAAATGGCACCATCTATTGGCTGGATCTCGATGGCCAGAATAAATTGCTGTTTCCATTGTTAGAAATCATGTTGTTTTCACCTGCAATTAATCATCTACCCTATGCTTCCTTTTTCAAGTTACTTGCTTATTAGTTATCAGTTATAATTTGTGTCGGTGTCTTCCAGCTAAAGTCTACCAGGAGCACAGACATGTAGCTGAACAATTTGATATCATCATTAGTTACAGTGAGTACCCAGTGTCAAGCCATCTTTCAGATGTCAGACGCTGCCTTTTCTTCTTTCTCACTTGTGGCTACTTAACACTATCCATTAGCTATATGGCTTTAGGCAAGTTATTTCACCACTCTGTGCCTGAATTTCTTCACCTATAATTGAAAAAAAAAAGGATTAAATATAGAGTTGTTGCAAGAATTAAACCTTTTTTGAATGTGAGGTACTATCCATGCCTGTCTTCTCCAACAGATCATATTGTAAATTGCATATGATTATAGTTATGAATTGGCACTTTGTCCTGTGTTAGATTATAATCTCTTTGAGAGTAGGAACAATGTCTATTGGCATCGTCATAATAGGTAACTTAATGATTGAGTGCTTTCAGTGGGTCAAACATTAATGTGTACTGTTATTACTCTAAGAAAACTTTTGGGGCCTCATCCCTATCTGAAAACTGGCCTATTCTGTGTACCCCTAGCACCTATGTTTACTTTAATCACTAGACTTAGCATATGATGTTGACATTGTGTACTTCTTCCCTTTCTGAACTGTTAACTCGTGGACAAGAGAGCAAGTACTTTCAATTTTATGTGTTCATATCTAAGCACAATGTCAAGTACAATAGAATCACTCAATGTAAAGATATTGGTTGGGTTTTCACCACATTCTTTGCTTTGTCTAGGGAGGAACTCAGGTCAGCCCAGTCTTAACCCCTATCATTTCTTTCCCTGGGTTTTGGGGTATTGTTTGTTTAATTTTGTTTTTTTTACTTAAAAAGGTAATAGAACATCTTTTATAGAGTGACCCCCTCAGTAAGGCAGATATAAAGAATCAAGAGAATCACTGTGACACTTCAATGTAAGAAAGTGCCATTTGGGAGTAACCAGCCCCTGCTTTTTTTTTTTTTTTTGTACCAGGATCAAACTCAGGTCCTTGTGCTTTCGGGGACAAGTGGTGGAACCACTGAGCTAAATCCCCAGCCCTAGCCCCTACTATTTAAACTGCCAGCAGTAGCATGTCCATTAGGGTGAAGTAGAGTAATGAAAGAGTATGAGACTAGGACCTAGAATCTTAAATTTTGAACTTAATTGTGTCATTAACAAACTGTAATATGTAGCAAATCACCAAATCTCTCTGAACCTCAGTTTCACCATGGGGGACATGGAGTTCATAATCTTTTTATTCTGGCTAACAGAGCTTGATAACAAAACTCAAAGAGCATTTACTGGAGATTCTCTTCAGAGAAAGCATTTAGCCCCTCTATTACTTCCATGGTATATGCCTGGGTGATTTTCAGCTCTGGAATTGGTATTCCAAAATAGCCAGTTTTTCAAAATGTCAACCAAGAGACAAGTGTGTTGTGATTTCCAACCTGCCATACCACCTCCCTAGCAGCCCCACAACCTAGACCATTTCCATTGAAGGAACTATAAGAGGTGTTTCCACCTTGATGATGGACCCATAAAATAATTTACCATTCTGAGGCTAGGCACAGGATACTTTTCAGCCCAAATTTATATTCTATCTTATCCCAGAGGGATAAAAGATAAATGACAGAAATAACATTATTATGGTATCATATGCATATATAAAGAAGGAAACTAGCATATTATTTTTCATATAATGTACCATTATTGTGCCTAGAGACTATATAGTAATCATAGTAATGCCCTCTGGCTGAGATTTTATGGCACCTTTCCCTAGTGAATTTCAAATGGGCCAAAGGAACTCAGAAGGATTCAGATTTGAGAGATCAATAAATTGAAACCAGCATTAGCTTTTCCTCTTGGCTAAGGGGCAGCACCCAGTGTTTTGAGAGCTCCTGCTAAATATGATGGAACTGACAAGCAGCCTCAATGCTCCCCTCCTTTGTACAAAACAGGATTAGAAAAGTATAGCTCTTGCACTCCTGATATAGACAGAGGTTTCATTTTTTTCCCTTTCAGCAGCTGTTGGGGGGCATATTTTATGAATTATTCAGCTAGTGTTTGGTTTGGGCCCTGTATTAGGTCTCAGAAGAAAGAGACAATTAAAATAAGGTGCATTGTTTGCTTCTAAGAGGCTTACATTCTCATAGGGCAGATGAAAACATAGGAAAGCAACATTCTCAGGCTATACAGAATGAAGGCTGAGTGATAGGTGAGATTAAGTTAGAGCTTCAAAGGATCAAGGGAGTTTAGGGGTCTGTACATGCACCAGTTATGATGGTGCTGGGAAAGAAGTAGGACTGTGATAGGCAATAGGGAGAAGAGCATCTTGAGCATTGGGGAGTGCTGACATAGAATGGCAAGCAGTATATTTGGGAGCCAATGACATTTCCAGCATGTCTCATGCTAAGAGCTCACTCCAGCGAGCAAGAAATTTTGGAGGGATTGAGTAAGGCCCAATGGAACCTTAAGATATTTTGTCCTTCAATTCTTACTCCCTGCTTTGTAAATGTGGAAGAGAAGTATCATGGACACATGCTAGACTGGTAGCTAGCAGAGCCAGTGATACTTGGGGCTCACAGGATAGCAATGATGAACATTTATGATTTGTGATGTATTTTCACATATATCATGTCATTTGTTCATCACAGTCTATTCAAAGTACCCCACTGCCATGCATTCCCTTCTCTTCTGCTTCTTTGTGGCCTTATAACAAATAAACAAACAAACAAATAAATGTATATGTACATACATACATAAACTAGTGGTTGTT